GGGGGGGGGGGGGGGGGGCTATAGCCCCCTCTGGCGCCACCACTGCGCCGTCGTCGTCAGTCGTCTTTTTCTTTAATGGAAGAGGAAAAAATATGCCATTTAGTGTCCATGCACATTTCATGTTTTGCACATGCTTCTTTATACAGGAACCCATTATCAAATACTACGTTATATATTATACCGTACTAAACTTACTCTGGTTTTCTTGTGTTTTTGTGCAATCACCCATCATCCCATTCATTATAATTATCAACATTGTTTAATATCATAATCGTTGACTTTGCAATTACTAAAGTTTTTTTTTTTTTTTTTGCAAAGTTTTTTTTTTTTTTTTTTTTTTTTGCTATTGTTATAATTGTCATATAATGTTTTTTTTTTTTTCCTATTGTTATAATTGTCATATATTATTGCTTTCTTTCCTGGTAAATAATTTGAATATTTTTTTAACAGGGTGTAAACTTAGATAGATGTATGTACTCACCAGTTGCACGCGATGTGACGTGCGATGTAGTAGGCCGAATCTGTGCAACCTATGTACAAGCTAACACATGCTACTGTTGCTATCGCCTGCAAGATTATCAGTTTGACTGTCAATTTGTCAATTATGGGTCAGTTTGTTCAAATGTTATTCGCCATTGATAATGTTAATGAGATCGCTTTTGTAAGCCGAAACCCTCATGGAGTAGAATTTCAGCTAGTGGATGAATTTCATGGTGGTGGTTGGAAAGCCCTAGAATTTTTGCAGGGGAGAGAGGCGCTCACCACAGCGAGGGTAAAACGAACAGAGGGCAGATGGATTTGGCAAGATGGACCAATTTAGATAAAATATAGCTCCTATATACCTCCCAGATATTCGGGGAAAGTCCCGTTTGGGGGCGTTTTTCAAAATGGCCACCTGTTGATTTGGACGCTTGTATTTCGATAACCACTGGTCAGAGAGAATTGTTCACAATATGCATATTCCTATTTGTTGTAATACAACTTTTTATCAAAAAATGGAGGGAAATGCGGTTTTTGAAAGTTTGACCTTTGACCTTGTAATGTCATATCTCAGTAGCTACTAGTCATAGATACTCACAATTGATTGCAACTTGTTCAGAAGATTCATGTTTATATTCGTCCTAATGAAAAAAAAAATTCAAATAGTGACCGGAAACGGTACATTCTGACCTTTGACCTATTGTAGGGTCATTCCATGTCAAATCAACCAGATTAAAAAGAAATTCCTGTATGACCGTCTCAGATTTGGATGAAACTTCATAAAAATGATCCACTGTATGAAAAACCAANNNNAAAAAAAAAAAAAAAAAAAAAAAAATTAGCCTCATAGGATATGTAGTTTTCGAGATATTGACTCCTCAAAAATAGGGGACGTGGTTCTTCAAGATGTGCAAACGCAATTTACTTCAACTTTGGAAGCTTATAACAGGAGATTGGTAATAGCTATTAGGGTCAAACTTAGTATTCTAACATATTTTTCGCCATATTTCGCTTGCATGTGGCTAGAGACAACTACACATAGATAATATTTCTGTAATATGAAGTGTATATACCCACTCAAATAGACGGAGGGTGACCTCGAAAATCACAAAAAATTTGCATTGTTAAACAAAGCGGCTACTTTGAGTGCAGATAACTTCAAAAGGGAAGGGATAACTGTTAATATAAGGCGATATTTGTCAAATATGGCAAAAAATATGTTAGAATACCAAGTTTGACCCTAATAGCTATTACCAATCTCCTGTTATAAGCTTCCAAAGTTGATGTAAATTGCGTTTGCACATCTTGAAGAACCACGCCCCATATTTTTGAGGAGTCAATATCTCGAAAACTACATATCCTATGAGGCTAATTTTTTTTTTTTTTTTTTTCATAAAATGGATCATTTTTTATGAAGTTTCATCAAAATCTGAGACGGTCATACAGGAATTTCTTTTTAATCTGGTTGATTTGACATGGAATAACCCTACAATAGGTCAAAGGTCAGAATGTACCGTTTCCGGTCACTATTTGAATATTTTTTTCATTAGGACGAATATAAACAGGAATCTTCTGAACAAGTTGCAATCAATTGTGAGTCTCTATGACCAGTAGTTACTGAGATATGACATTACAAGGTCAAAGGTCAAACTTTCAAAAACCGCATTTCCCTCCATTTTTTGATAAAAAGTTGTATTACAACAAATAGGAACATGCATATTGTGAACAATTTGAGACCAAAATCAAGACACCAGTGGTTATCGAGATACAAGCGTCCAAATCAACTGGTGGCCATTTTGAAAAACGCCCCCAAACGGGACTTATCCTAAAATTAGTCACAGATCTCATGAAAATGACTCTACTATGAAGCAAGAAACAAAGAGTATGCAATGTAACCATATAATTAAATGAAATTTTATATTTTGGAAATTTTGCATGAAATCTGTCAACCACGTTGTCATGGTCGAGGTTGCTTCACCTATCACGATGTATTCCAACCATCATGAGGCTATCTAAATGAACATTTGTCATAACAGAACGCAAATTATTTTTAATAAGTCTCATTGAATTATTATTATTATTATTATTAATATTATTATTATTATTATTATTAGGGCCTATTATTGTTATTGTTATTGTTGTTCTGATGAAAAGTTAACACAAACAATATGGTGGCTAAACGAATATTACATGTAAATATTTTTTTTATTCGTTTGTTCCCCGACAAAACTTATCGTCTTCCCCGACAGTGGGAGGGGCTGTGCTTCCCCGACGGGAGGGGAGGGGGACTATATCCCCAGCCCCTCCCTCTAGCGCCACCACTGGAGGAGTGTCTCCAACCAGTACCAATGTCTCAGAGGCTGTAGTTAGCGGAGTCCCTTTCGACGGCCCATCCTGGTGCAGATTAAACGGGGTGGGGGTGAGGGCCGTGCCCCCCCCCCACCCCCGTCAGTCAAGCCGAAAAATAAAAAAGAGGGTGACAAATTTGAGTTAAAGAGACTAAGAGCTAAAAAGTGAGTACACCCATGAGCTCAGTGGAGATACAGCAGTGGGCGAAAGGAGAGCTCGATTATTAACCACTTATTGCTTTGCTGAGGTGGGCGTGGCGGCGTGAACTTCATATTTTTATAAATTGATTCATTATTTTTTAAAATATGTTTTTGTGGTTTTTTTTTTTTGTTTGTTTGTTTGTTTTTTTGTTGTAGTCTACATGTTGTTAATCACATACATGGCGTGGGTTCGTGTGATGATGTTGTCAAGTATATCTGGTTGTTATGGACATCTTTTGGATTTTGTTTCCTGAATGTTATACTTGGTGTATTTACTCAAAATCGACTCAGGCTGTTTTATAAAACTGTAAGTTCATAATATTAACAATAACATTAACAACACAGACTTACTAAAAAATAAAGTATAAACTAATAAACACAAAAAACAAAAATGAAACCATACTAAAGAAAATTATGAAGTAAGAAAAAAACCACATGAAAACCTTCGGTGAGACTCGAACTTTGACTGCAGTGGTAATAGCGAGGCTGATATTGAGAATTCTTATACCATTACGATAAGAGCCCGACACTGCCGAGGTCAGTGTAGTTTGTCTACCTTGTGTAATGTTATGAGTCGAGGGCGAAAATTTTTCATGCAGTTTACAGTAATTGCGTGTTTAATAAGGCTGTAGCTATAGCTTAAAAACTTTAGAAAACACAAATTGCATTAACATAAACGTTTAATTACCCGTTTATTAATATTCAAAATACATATTTCATTATGCACATTTTGATAGTCTATGCTTGGACAACAACCCAAGCACGGAAAGTGACTAAAGTGCCAGTTAGGAAACAACTGTACAAAAACATAGGAAAATGGGGTAGAAAAAGAAAGAAAGAAAAAAAAATCGGAACAAGAACAAAGACTTTTTCTGCTAATAAAAATATTAAGTTATAAAAAATGAACATAGAAACTAACGCAACGTTAATGAGGCTCAAACTATAGCTACAATGGTAATAGCGAAGGTGATATGGAGGCTAACAAGCCAACTCATGAGCCGACCCTGCGTAAGTCAGTGCATTTTTAGTTCATCTACCTTGAGTAATTCAGTGATTGGAAGCGAGAATTGTTCATGCATATAAAAAAGAAAACGCAAATTGTTGTTTATATACGGTAGTTTAATTACCTGTTTAATAATATTTTTAAATGGTCCTTATATCCACACCCTACGTCGTATCGTCACCAACATTAATCATTTCTTCATTTTATAATGCCAAACAATTCTGGTAATTTTCATTTATATCCATTGATAGCTTTTTTGAGATATTTAGGTCTGGGACGTTAGCACTTTAAATGCCCCTCAAATTTACTCCAAAACAAGGATCGACACCAAAATGTAATAACTTCTTCCTTGTAACATGGTGAAGTGTAGCCGAGCGGTAAAGGTGCACGTATTATGTGTAAAGATAATCGTCTGTATGATGTTCGAAAAATCGCGGCCGATCCATTCCATCCGCCATGCATCATCGAGTTTGCACGCCGTTCGGACTGCTTCCGGTCCGCCGGCCTAGGTTTGACACATTCAATTCAATTTCGATTTATTGTCATTTGCAACGCTCATATTACACTACATAAAAATTACTGTGGCTCTTTTTCACATACAACCAAGTACAATGCAACAGACAAAGTAGCACTAAAGAGAGAAACATGATCGATCCGCTCGAGTCGATCCACGGTTTTACTTCTGATCAGCACCAAATTCAAGGAGGACCGAGATACATGTATTTATTGGCAATGTGTCAAAGTTGAAGTAAATCAATCCAGTAGTTTTTGTGTTATGCGCTCGGGAGGACAGACAGACACCCAGACCGCCCGGCAGACAGACAGACAGAAACATACACCCACATACACACAGACGCGCGCTATTGCAACACTATTCACCTCTCCTTTTAAGTTTTTAAGTAAGCTTGATATAAAAAGAAAGCAAAAAACTGAGGTATACAAAATTTTATTTTTTTAATTTGATTATTTTTCAGGTTCGGAGTCAACATGACATGACAATTGTACTGCCAAAAAATTCGAATATTTATGTATCGCCACCTCTGCAAAATTCAATGTTTTTACAACAAGCAACAGATCCTAGCCAAGGGCAACAAGAGCTCAATCTTGATACACAAAAGGCCTCTCCAGCAACCTCAGAAGCCAACCCCTCTAGAGTAGTGCACGAAAGCACCGCCACTACAGTATAGTTATAAGATCATCGATTTTTTTTCTTTCTGCTTCCAACACAGCCTCTAGAACTGTTGAGCATCGACCTTTTTCGTTTTTCATCATTATCATCATCGTCATCATCATCATCGTCATCATCATCATCATCATCATCATCATCATCATCCTATAATGTGCACGTCGCATGCCACTTATGTCGTTGCGGTATACTTTTTACTACCTATCTCACATTATTACCATTACCCTTATATTTGTTTTTTATTAACATTGCCCAAAACTAATTTCCCGTGTTTCACACAGCAAAATATGCCGTTTAGCCATACATTTAAAATGGCATTTTAAAAATGTCATTACAATTTTTACAGTTAAAATTCAACAACGTGTTGCACTGTGCACTATTTAGAAGTTTTAAAAGTATCCCCGCTACTCCAAAGTGTGTTAAGTTGTTGCATGTACTATATAATAATCTTTATTTGAACTTCACTTTTAAAACAGTGGCACACGATGACGGTGCGTTCACAAGAGTATAACATACAACATATAATTAAAAATATAATAATAAACGTCGAACAAATAAATTCAAATACTGTACAGAATTAAAACACAGCGTAAAAAACGACTAAAGATAACTTTAAAATGTTTACCATATTACAATAGAATAGGCTGAAAAAGATTAAAAATGTACTTAATAAAGGTATTTCCATAGATATAAAACGGCATGTTTAAAATTTTTAAAGAATTGAAATTCATCTGCTGACAAATTTAAAAAGTTTAACATTTCAGTCCAACAATGTTTAAAAAAATTTTTTTTTTTTAAATAACTACCGGTACTTAACACAGAGGTAAAAGTCGTTGTTTACACAATATACATATATATATACACATATACATACATACATATACCTACAACTATATACATACATATATATATATATATATATATATTCCTCACTCGCCACTGAGGAAGGACTGGTGTTGTCCGAAAGCTCTGGTTCTATTTCTGGCTGTTTACTTACGTTTACTTTTTAGCTGTTGCTTCAAAATTTACTCGTCTTCCCCGACGGGGCCCCACCACTGACATACAAACATACATATATATATGAATTTAAATCATAGACTGAAGTTGCTTAATTATTCTTGATTCATAATTTTACTTCTAGTTTGCCAGGCTCTTTTTAACTGCATTTACAGTTTCAATTGCATTTGTTGTGTGGGTTTACATGATGAATTTAAAAGTTAAATATTACTGTGCAGCATACTTTACAAGAAATGTCTAAATATTTGGTGGGGTATGCGGGTCCTTAAAGGAGTATTACCCCGTGATGCACAGTTCGGTTTAAAGTTGGTGTATGCAGGTCACAGGACCTTAGTGGATTTACGTCCCTACCCCAGGATGCATAATTTGATTAAGGTTGGCGTATGCGGGTCATTTTAGACCTTAGTAGAGTAGAGTAACATCCCTTCCCCAGAATGTATAGTTCGGAGAGGTGGGGATTGCTTGTCATTAGGACCTTACCTTAACGTCCTTACCCTAGGATACATAGTATGATTAAGTTGGTGTATTCGTGTCACAGGAACATAGTGGAGTGAGGTTTCTACCCCAGGATAGTTCGGTTAGGTGGGGTATGCGGGTCATTAGGACCTTAGTGGAGTGACGTTTCTACCACTTAATGCATAGTTACCATACACTATTGTAGACAGTACTCATACTATAAATTTTCACTTGTTTTTTGTCATATTTTGTGCGGATATTGGCCCATGATGGCATATGCAGCAATAAAATAAATTGCATTGAACCGGATACCGCTTGCTTTTAGAGACATGCTAAAAAACGGTTAATGTAGTTTTTGTGTAATTATAATGTTTCCTTGTAGATGTTTTTGACATAAGCTATTGTATACTTAGTATACTCTATAATTATTATGGTATTCAGGGCAACGGTTGGCAATGGCTAGCTTCATTCCTCGTTGGCTGAAGTGAAGCAGTTGAGGGGGCGATTTCCGGTACGTACGTATTCAAGTTTCTTTCTGGAGTTCCCCAAGGATCAGTTCTGTAGTCTTTGTTACATAACTCTTTTGTGTTTGACTTGTCGGACTGTAACTCATCATGCATTCCCCAATATGTTGATGACGCCCTTCTCTGCAGAACTCATGCCGATGAGACTTTTTTGTTTACATATGATCTCAATAATGTCTGTTCTTAGTGTAATAACAATGGTATGAGCGTAAATGAATGCATGGTCATGAACGTAAGTAGGTCTTCGAGGCAGAGAAAATTCGCCTGCATATTTAGTCTTCGAAAATATTGCATTACCCAGACTCATTCACAAAATATCTTGGTGTAATCATAAATAGTAGGCCTAATTTGGAATGGGCCGAACAGGCTCAGCATGCTACACCAAAAGTCTCCAAAACGTATGGTTTTATTAGACGCATTATGATAGTTTTAAGATTTAACGATCGTGTCTGTGTGTTAAATTTGTTATTTAAAGCTGGGCTAGTCCTGAGGAAAAGACAAAAGATCATTCCCCTCCCCCAGTTTAAATATTTTTAAAAATATGTATACCTTTAACCGTTCTCGAGGATTTGTTATTGAATTACCCAGACTATCATCCACAAAATATCTTGGTGTAATCAAAAATAGTAATTATGGCCTATTATTGATAAAATTGTTTGTGACACCTTAAACTATGGTTATCAGAACCAAGAATTCTCTAAAACGCAACGCAGAGGGGTGATTAACTTAATTTATAAAAAAGGTGATCACCAGAATCTCAATAACTGGCCACCAATCACACCGCTTAACACTGATTACAAATTTACAGCTTTTGTCCTTTTACAAAAAGACTCCAAAATGTTGTTAAATCTATTGGTACTAGTGACCAAAAAGGTTATGTATGTGGCCGGTTTGGTGGTGATAATGTACGTCTAATTGAAGACATTATGACGCACATGGATATCAACCAATTAGATGGAGCTCTAGTAAGCATTGACTTTAAAAAAGTTTTTGATACAGTTGATAGAAATTTCATGTTTAATACTCCCCGAAAATTTAACTTCGGAATCTCTTTTATACAGTGGGTTAAAACTATGTATACAAATACAGAAAGTATCTTTACAAACAATGGCTAGGTTTCCGAAAGCCTTAATTAATATGAATCAGGGCATAAGGCAAGGTTGCCCGCTTTCGGCACTGTTATTTGTTTTGTTTGCAGAGGTACTTGAAACCAAGATAAGAAGTTTTTTTAAAAAAAATTGATGGAATAAATATTTCTGTAAATAATCATATTCATGTGGTGAAAATTGCCCGACTTGCTGATGACGCAGTCCTCTTTCTGAAAGATAAGGAAAGTATTATCAGAAGCATAAAAGTAATTGAACAGTTTGGCGACGACTCAGGTCTGAGATTAAACTAAAAAAAAAAACAAATGCTATATGGATAGGCAGACAAAAAAATAGTAAACTTACACCAGGTAATATTGATTGGTCATCTGAACCGATCAAAATTCTTGGAATTTATGTAGGACATGACAAAACTGAGTTTTGCTATCAAAAAAATTGGAAAAATAAATAAGTTTCTTTAGAAAATATATTAACAGCATGGGGGAAGAGAAATCTAACTGTGTTTGGTAGAATTACCATTATCAAAACTATTGCTATATCAAAACTTTTGTACAATGCTAGCATACTGGATGTTCCTGAAAATATAATTAAACTAGGTTGACAAAATTATTTTTAAATTTATATGGAAAAACAAAACTGACAAAGTTAAATGAAAAATAATGTATGCTGACGATCAAGGTGAACTTAGGGTTACTGATTTTAGATCAGAGGTAGCGGCCTTTAAACTTAAATGGTTCAGGCGTCTATTGACGATGGTGACGATGTTAAATGGGAAATCTTGCCATTATTGTACTTCGAAAATTTTTGACCAATGTCATTTATTGCAAACCTCTCAAAAATTTCGTTACACTCAAAATTCCCACTTTTTTACAATTCTGTTGCTTACGCAATAGAATGGTTTAATGAAAATCAACTTAATTTTCCAGTAAACTACAACAATATTATGGAACAAATTATTTTGGGAAACAAATTCATATGTATAAAAGATAAGGTACAAACATAACTGGATCTCAGAGTACACTAGAATACTCATACCATTCCTAATGAATGGAAGAGTATTTTATATAAGCATAGCATATGTAAAAATGAAGATAAGAATTTGAATAAAAACTCATCGTTAAGTATGACAAAACAATTGTATAATTTGCTACAAAAAATAGAGTACAACTTTCTATAAAGATTCAATGTAAATGGGAAGCTATACTTGACGAACTACAAATTGACTGGAAAAAAGTTTGGAACAGAAGAATTTCTATGATCAAAGAAAATAGAATTAAGCAATTGAATTTTGAACTCTTACACATGATTATACCTACAAGAATGCAATTATACAAATGGAAATTTGTCAGCAACAATTTGGGTACTAAATGTAAAGTTGTAGATGAAATACACTACTTCTATTACTGCGAGGACGCTAAAACTGTGTGGCGTTTCATAAAAAAAAAATAATTTAGATAGAGTACCCACGTTATCCAATATTAATACTTGGTACTGAGTCGAGCTTTATAAATGATATGCTAAGCCTTAGTACCTTTTGTATTGCTAAAGCACGTACGTTAATGTTTTATGGTAAATGGAGGCTTGCTTCCACTACGACCTTGTTTGAAATTGAATATAATAAAATATACTTGTTGTAAAGAAACGATTGTCAGCCATGTTTGGACTGACCCTGTATTATGCAGGTGTTTGTATGTGTGGTATAGCAGCCGAGATTGACAGAACCTGTATCTCTGTTCGATGTGTATAAGAGACAGGTATTATACTTTCTTATCTGAGATTAACCAGTGGAGCTTCCGGTTTGATTTTACATTATTGGTTCATAGAGAAAATATAACAGACTTCTATGGTTGCTTTAGGTTACTTTTCTTGGTTCTTCGGTATTTAATAGGCCTTATTGTTAAGCGTTTTGTTTTTGCTTAATTTTAATTTCGTTTTCATTGATACTTTTGTTAAGCTTTGTGTAAATTGATTATGTTTTCTTTAACAAAAGCAATTTTTTTGTTCCACATTATTTAATAGGCCCAATTGTTAAGCCTTTTGTTTTTGTTTGATCTATTGTTTAGTTTTCGTAGATACTTTTGTTAAGCCTTGTCTAAATTGATTATTTTTCTTTAATAAGAGCAATTTGTTCATTTTTTTTCTTAGTTTAAGATTGACTGCACCACTTAATTGTGTGTTGCCACTGTTATAAAAGTGAAATGTCGAATAAGTTATTATTATTATTATTATTATTATTATTATTATTATTATTATTATTATTATTATTATTATTATTACATTATTTCTCCCCGACGAATTGTGGTTTTTCTCCCCGACAGGATGTGGGCGAGAAGCTAGACCTCCCCGAAGGGGCCCTCCCCACACCCGCTGCCGCCACCCCTGCTAAGTACAGTATTGTGTCAACATACGAAGCCCGCTCCCTCGGCTGAACCCGTTGTAATTAGCAACTACCTCCAGAGCGCCGTATCCAGGATTTCCATGATTGGTGGTGTAGAGGGTGCGGCAGTGGGGGATCATTGGCGGAATGAAGGAGGTGGGGTCAAGGGGAAAGAGCAGATTAGATCGCAGCTTTCGGTAAGGTTCCGTGGGATTTATAATCAATTTCAGCCTCGAATATTTTCAACTACAAAATTGAGTTTTTTTCTTCTCATCAATGAACAATTTGTCTTTCCTATGGCAACTTTACTGCCAGCATAATGGACTAAATAGATTACTGGTTGAAACATAAAAATTTAGATTCAAATAAATAAATAAATAAATAAATAATATATATAAATAAATCATGACTCTATGTACATAAATTATTTAAATATTAATTTATTAAAAAATTCAAATTTAAATTATTTTTTAAATCTTGGCTATAGTGCAATACAGTACTGTAATAAAATAGGCCTACTATCATATATTTGAATAAAAATAGACACTTTAAGACTTAAAAAAAAAAATTAAAAAAACAAAACAAAACCAAAAAACAAAGGTAGAAATATCAGATAAAAATTACATTATCGAACATCACTCAAAATAAAAATTGAATGGCAGGAGAAAGCGACATAGAGGGTTGAGAAACTGTCACGACAGGTTTGCAAGATGTTGAGATATATGAGATATTTAATAATTCATCATGAAATAACTAGGAAATGGATTCGATTCAAACTTAGCATAAGGCCCTATAAAAAAAAAGCTATTAGTTTATCACTATCTAGGCTGGAAAAGTGACGAGTGAGGGAGGCTCTTTACTTTTATTTTTTATTTTGCTAAAGCCAAATATCACCCTTGGGTTGTTTGCTGGTGCATTGATATTCAAAGTAAAACAGGATTGAGATAATACAAACCACATCTGAAAACTTTTACTAGAAAAAAAGAAAGTAAAAGAAAAAATAAAGAAAAAAAAATCCCATCCCCCCCCCCATTTTTTTTGTTTCAATACCATAAAAGACATGCTCGCGAGGGTGATAGACTAGTAATGTTTTTATTGGAGGCCCAATGAAAAGTAATTATTTGTTTATCACGCTATATGGGCTGGAAAAGTGATGAGGGAGAGAGACTGTTTATTTTTATTTTATATTTTTCTAAGGCCATATCACCCTTGGGCTGTTTGCCGATGCATTGATATTCAAAGTAAAATACATAATTGAGATAAGGACCCATAAAAAAATTATTAGTTCATCACCCTATCAAAGAATAAAAACTTATGAGGGAGGGAGATTTTTTTTTTTTTTGCTAACCCCGCCCACATTTTACCGATGTTTTATAAGTAAATAAATGGTTAGGGACACATTATATAAAAAGTCATAAGAATGGAATCAAATTTATATTTTTGTTGTACCAGTAAACATATTATTTTCAGGAAATTATGTGCTTTTCAAGTGAAAAAAGATGGGGAAACCAAAATTGTTGTTGTACTGTACCTTTTGTTTAGTGGCGGAATAAATAAATGAAATGAAATGAAGCACGGGTAATAGGCCTACGCCTTACCACACGGTGAAAGATTTGGCATCGTGATTAAACCACTGCTCAAAATTCCCAAGATCAGTCTAAAAAATCTCAAGATTGCTTTAAAAATCCCAAGATTCGCAAAATATTAGTACAGGAATCAGACAACTTCTTTTAATAGTTCAATTTAAAAGCTTTTCCAATGAATTTCATTATACTGTACTGAAATGTGTACTCTCGTTGGTTTTGATTCAACCGTGTATTTTCTGAAGTTGGGTGTGTGGGGATGGTGGGTTGGGGATGGTGGTGCTGGTTGCGAATGTCATAATTTAATATACTGTACATAAAAACTGACAGGTCAGTTGCCTTTATTTTATTTGCATTACACAGAAAATATTCCAGTAGCATACTGTACTTTAATAGAAAAGGTATTGATTGTTATAACTTCATTTTTGGGAGTATTTTTGATGAATTTTATTGAAATTATAATTGTCAAATTAAAACACAGTAAATCATTTGCAAAGTATGAGACGATGCGAGATTTTCTGGCATCTAGGTGCAATATTCTTGCTTAACTTTACTACCCTACGTACTGTAGCAAACAGCTTATCCGCCAATGGGACACATATATCAAGAGATATAACTTTAAAATGCACCTTATTATTTTTGAAAAATGATTAAATGGCCTTAAACAACACTGCCTTAACAGAAGTATTGGAATTACTTATAGGTCTTGTTGAACAAATAAACAACTCTCATTCACAACTGTCAACTATGTGGTGTTATATAAGGTCACTGAACAGATGTTCACTTATTGATAGAAAAAATAAGAATTCCATATCATTCCAAAAATCCCAAAATTTAATGAAAAAATCCCAAGGTCCCAAGGTGTCATTAAAAATCCAAAGATCTTGGGATAAATCCCAATTGCAGTGGTCACAGTGCACAGCTGATGAATAGTCAGTTGGCCTTTGACCTTGTGTTGGGAAAAAAACAAAACGTTAAAACGATCACAAAACTCAAAAGTCACAGCCATCAAAACGCCACCGTACACAGAGGGTGTGTGTGGCAAACAAATTACAAATTGTTTTTGTCATTTTAGTAGAGTGGTAGCGAGACTGTAAACAGTTGAATTTTTTGTCATCCACTAGATACTTGTGAATGTGTTGGTTTTAATGTAATATGTAAGTATGGACCTGTGAGGATTGAGTAATTTGTTGAATTAGTGACTAGGCCTAGGCCTACCAACATCATTTTTATCATTACGTCGTAGGCAGGAATGGTAGGTTAGGCAAAGCCGATAATATACTACTGTATATAGCGTGCCAACCAAGGCCTGGTAGATGCTAATGCACTTTCGCACCTAACTTTTAATTCTTAATTTTTTTCGCTAGCACGACGAGAGGCTGCCATTTTTCAATCAGTAAGAAATTGCCAGAATGTCCGAGTTTGCAGCGTGAAGTTTTTTGATTAAATGTTTATGAAAACTTATCTATTTGCCGTATTGTACAGTATGTCAATCTTTATATTGTATGGTGCTGTTGTTTGACTATGTATGTGTGTTCACATGAAATAATTACTTCCAAAATTAGTAATGATCCAAATGCATACACAGATCGAAAAATAGGGCCTAGGGGCCTAGGCCTAAATCCAGAAAAACAACTATTAAAGCCAATGATAAACATCGGTTCGATTAACCTTGATTACCACGAGAAAGTTCAAAAAGATGGTACTGCATGATGCCACATTTTGTTGTTGCATGTTTCATGGGAAAATTCCAATTAAAATTATAAGACTGGCCTTTAATGGTTTCAAAATTTAAGAATTGACTTGGACATTCTGGCAATTTCTTACTTGATTGCAAAAAAGTACAGCTCGTCGTGCTAGCAAGCGCGGAAACCAGGTATCAACCTATATTTATAAAGGTATCTTTTTGTTGAAAAGAATTACTTTATGAGTGGTTGAATCTTGTAAAAATGTTTTATAATTATGTGTTGTGACTGTGAGAAGAAAATTCAGGTAAAAAAAAGAATTAAAAATTAGGTGCGAAAGTGCATTAGCGCCGGCCTGGCGTAGGTAGTAGTACTAGTAGTACTACATTAGGCTTGTCTAGGCCCTAGGCCTAGTCATATATAGGCCCAATCTATCCCCCCCCCCTACTACTTTTGTTCTAGGCCTGGTAGGTATGTTAAAAAAAATATCATCTTGTTTGGATTTAAATGAAACTTAAGATTTTTATGTGAAAGATTATACAACATTCAAACGTTACAAAATTTGATTAAAATCATGCTAGGCAAGGCCTACTGGTTAATTTTCTATGATTTCAACTTATCCCCATCCCTCTCAACCCAGAACTCAAGCACTTTCCCCTTATTTATCTTAACCCCTCCCTTTTTAAGATACAGTACATTATTAGTAGGCCTACATTACATAGTACATTACATTACTGTATTTACAATTGCCACATGCAAATCAAAATACCTGCTCATCTCCCACCACCTTTCTCCTCCCCTACCGCCTTCCGCTCTCCCCACCACCTTCACCCACCACCTACCCCCCCCCACTGCCAGCATTTCGGTAGTGGGTACAACGGTTTTCCATCCTAGAGTTAAAAAAAAAAAACCACAGATTTAAATTTGAATATAATTTTCTGTCTTCATCTTTTTTAGTAATTTTGAAAATTTTAGAGGGTGGCGGCTGAACTCCCCACTGTTTAATATAACATTTGACCTAGCCTATCATTTTGTTTCACAAATGATTAATTCATGTTGTCAAGTGAAAAGGTTTTCACTACAGTTTTTACAACCTATATACTCTATTAATTACAATGTGCTATAAATTCTGTAGTTAACTTTCAGAGAACTTTATTTTAAATAAATGGCCTAATTAAGTTTCTTTGTTTTTGTTAAATTAGATGGAATTTAAATGTGGTTATATTACGTTAGTTTGATGGTTTACTGTAAGCCAATCACTTACACTTATATCTTCATCGTTAACATAAACAGAACTAGAGCGTCGCAGCATGTGCCTACACCTCCGCCCTGTGCCTAAATACAGAATTTTCGCAAGGCGGACAAGCGATTCCATTGTTTTCTTCATGCTCAAGGATAGGTTTCAAGGAAACTTTACGAATGCGTGCTTTACAGGTCTCGTCAACCAATATGGTACACACTGGTTGCTCAACTCAAAAAGAGAACTTGTAATGTTCGTTTGAAAATGAAAAAAAAATCTATATTGTATTTAAGTCAATTTATTAAAGGGGAAAATAAACAAGGTCTCTAAACACCATGACATTGTAAAGCGTTCATGAATGATGTTCGTCACTGATGCTTGAAGCAGTCACTAAAGTTGGGGGTCCAGGCCCCTCCAGTGGAAAAAGTGGAGCGGTCAATGGCCTCCCATGAAATGAAATGTGTGTTTATTGAATTGAGTTTGAGAGTATAGTAAGAATTGTAGTACCCCCCCCCCCTCTAGAAAATATATCCTACAGCTGCCACTGCCCCTGTAGGCAAATTTCTGGAGCCAGGTTTGGTAAATAAGCCTATAATTTGTCTAGTACAGTATATATTTAATCAGTTCCAAATTGCAGGCAATCATGTTTCTCTAGTAACGTATTGAACAGTGTACTGGGCATCTGCCTGGTGGTGGTGAGTGAGTCACACATTGTGACATCATGTGTGACATCAGGAAGTAAAGTTGTGAGTCAATTTGTACTGTGCACCACAAATTGTATTGGCCATTGTAATAGGTTACTGTGTATACAGATTACATTTATTTAACTTTACTGGGTCTAAAAACACTGGAAAACTACAATTCAGAACGTACAGTACATGTATGTGGAATCGCAGTACAGTTTTGGCCTGCTCATAAATAATTTTTTTGAAAATATGTGGAGTTACGTGTTAAAATTTCAGACCTTGTGAAAATCAGTATTAAAAGAAAGATGAGTGGTATAATTGTTTATGAAATGCAATAATAATATTTATAGTTTACAAATACTGTATTCTTGCCCTACAAATAAGTGACGGTTCTATTCTAGAATAAATATTGACTTTAAACTTTAAATAATGCATGACATGAAAAAGGTAGTTCAGGTTTTGAATAGTAGAATGGTAGTAAAATGAAAACACTCGTGTCACCAATAGCTAAATCTATAATTGAATAGTGAGTGTGATATACTTGGCAAGTAGTACAAAAAAAAACATCTTAGGGTTGAAAAAATTGCAACAGAATTTCTGTTTGCACAGTGCATTTTCTTAAGGTCTCTGTATGAACATACTGTACTAAAAGTCTAGAAAAATCCACATAGGGGAAGTGGGTTTTTTTCAAAATGGCCACCAAAAATGGCTAGTTTTAACCAAAAATTGAAAAAAACTTGGATCTTTTCAACATATTTCAGCATATTTTTTTTTCTAAAATATATTTACAAATCTTAAAATTGTTCTGATGCATACAGGTACAGGTGGGTATCATTAATTTCAAGGTGGCTGCCACAAATATGACGACATATTTAGTGGTGTAATGCATAATACGCCAGGCAGCTATAGTGCCATATGGGCGTTTTGGACAAAAGCACCAACTTTTTACATGCTCCTTATGGTCATAGCATTCAATTTTTTATAGAAACCATTTTATCGGAGGTCATTATGGCAGCCATCTTAGATTTAAAAATGGCCACCTTACAAAACCTATGTATCTTCATGGTATTATCTCCTCTTCTAACTTAGAATTATAATTCTAGTGTCTAAGTGGTTAAGGAATACAGGCATGCCATTTTTGACCTGGTAAGATTGTTCATTTAAGGTAATTATAATTTAAGGTCATTATGAATAATCTGAGCAGATTGTTCATTTAAGGTCATTGATTTAAGGTCATTCAGGTAATTCCAGGTCAAATATTGTATGACATCTTAATAATTACATGTCATGTTTTACATCTGCATCATACTCAAGCCTAGCTTGGCTCAGCACAGTTTTGATATTTGTAGTCTGAATCAACCTTCTGGCTTAAAAAATTACCCTGGCTTGACCTCAAATATACCTATCTACTGTCTCACATGAGCCTGTGAACAAAATGTGACCGCAATTACAGCTGGCGGTACAATGTTTATGGTCAAATTGATTTCTACTATCTGAATAGTAGAACCTCTGTCTCTTATACACATCTAACCCCTTAAATTCCCCTGGCTAGTAACAGGCCTCCTTGGTTAGGCATTTTCATTATAGCTCTACTTAACTGTAGATAGAAAGATGCAAAATAGAAATATTTAGGTTAATGAACATACTGAAAACAGAGAACAGAAAGTAATCAAAATCCATTTTGCTAGAAAGAGTCTGTAGGCAGAGGAAGAAAAGGAAAGAGAAAATCTAAGGATCCATTTCTGTTGAGCGATCTGTTCTGCAACAATCTTTCGTTATGCTATGGTGCTGTAGTAGGTGGTTGGACACACAGTGCACAAACTTAAGCCCTGTTCAGTCTATAAAATATAATGGGTATTAAAGCTACTGTATGTATTTGAGGTAGTTAGGAAGAGAAGATAATTCCATTCTTTTATTGAATTAAAGTAAATTGTTAAAGAACGAATACCTGAAAAACATGGAATTACATACGTTTAGTTAACCTGACTGGCTCTCTTGTGAGATAATTATGAGAGACAGAAATTAATTATCAATAAGGTGCATTTTTACTCTGAACATGAACATGATTAAATTGCAAGAATTCAATCCTATTATTTACTTTCAGAAACCCAGTGCTTTCTAGTTCATCAGCACCAATATGTGAACGTGGGCCCCATCCTTTAATCAGTCTAATCATTTTATTTTCGGAAATTTGTAGTTAACTATTATTCCATAGTACCAGGAGATGAAGGCATAATCAAACATACATTCAACAAGGGATGAACAAGGACCTTTATGCACTACATAAATGTGAAAGCAAAACGGACCTAGAAAGTATAATTTAATCTAACACTACAGACATGATAATCCTACTCCTTAAACCAGGGAGTCAACTCCCTGCTTAAACTAAGCATTCAACATTATATCATTCGATAAGTTGAAGCAAAGACAAAAATGCAACTGTTGTGTCACGTGTACTAATGACTTTACGGGAAAACAGCTTGGTTTCGTACAGTAACTTAACAAGGCTGAGCTTATTACTATAGGCCATAAATAGATTACAGGCCTTTATACCCCAACTTGTGTTCCACCAAGTTTTGTCTCTCTGGTTTGTTCTGTTCACTGTGTTTGAACTTCATTTTACATTGTTAATATAAACTTGTACTAAGGACAGTGCCCATAAAAATACAAAGAACACTGCGTACAATGAGGAAAATAGTTACAAAATGTAACAGGTAAAATTAATGTTCATATTTGCATTAAAAAAATGTGTTTACTGTATACTCTAAATGTAGGCTTTATTATTGGGATCAATCATATTGGTACAGTGAGCCTCCAAACTCTTAACTGATGACACGTCCCCCAAAAATTAATCACCCATGTAATTTTAATGATTGCTTCCACTTCGCTGGAGGTTATCTCTGGCCTGTGAGATCAAATCTAAAATGATTTTGCCCCTTAAAATTAAATAATAAAGAACCAGAGATATATAGGCACATCATGACTAACAAGTTCTCTGAGCAAATATATTCTATTGCCATAAATTAATTCAGCCAATGGGAGGTAGATGAGGCTAGACCAAATTATGTTTGTCTACAGGTTTTATTGTATTACTGCACATAGATGACTATTCTCTTGAAATACATTTTTTTTTTTCAGATTGGATATACTAAAATCTGAATTTTAAAGATGCAGCAGACACAGAGGATTGAACAGAGAACTCCTGGTAAGAATATGTTATTTATTATTGTTGCTATCAACGTAATTAACTTTAGTAGTCATATTATGCAATCTCTTTTAAATTTAAATCTGGCAAAATTTAAAGAGAGCACAGTATAGTTAATGATTGCTAAAATACTAATTATTAGTTGTATGTTGTTGTAGGCGCATGTGGCACATCATGTAAGGTATGCCTGTTGCATTGCTTGTGTCCTTGGGCAAGGCACTTTACTTAGCCTCTCTACACCCAGGAGTATAAATGGGTGCCTCGTAGGATGGTGTAGCATTGAACGTTGTGCGTGTAAAGCAGCATTACTTAGTGTACTCCCAGAGAAAGTTGCACAAAAATGTGCTGGTTTGCCAACTTAGTTTCCAGTGACCAGGAAAATACTTACTCCAGCGCCTTGTATATTCTTCGGTTTGTGATAGGCGCCATATACATCCGGATTCTAAAAAAAAGGGGGTTTGAGAGGAAAATATTTTCAGAGTTTGCTACAACAGCTCGACTCTGAGTTTATGTTTTAATCGTTATCGTTATCCAAAATCAACATGATTCATCAGGATCATCATTATTGATCACGATCATAAGGATGAACAAATGATAATAATGAGTCATAATATCATGATCACGATCTTTGTCATCATATGATGATCATCATCAATGATTCATGAATTGTGACCATCACTGACACCATTAACTTCACCGTTTCTACCACCACTGTGCCATCCTCATTATGTGATCTTTATCAGTAGGCCACAAATTTTTTTGGAAGAAATTGAAATTGTTATTATCTTTAGAATATGCCAGACGCGAAAAGTGTGCCAAATGGATGTCCGTCATTCTCCTCATCACATCGTTGATGGAGTTTGCTGTTGGCATGTACCTTTACTTCATGGTCACAAATTATTATGTAGGAGCTTATTGGTCTTCGATTGGTGTAAGTAATGTGTTCATTTAATTTCAATATGCTGAAAGATCAGCTTACTGTAACTCAGGCTATGGTTGCACTAGAGCCTCAAGCCTAGCTTGGCTCAGCACAGTTTTGATATTTGTAGTCTGAATCAACCTTCTGGCTTAAAAAATTACCCTGGCTTGACCTCAAATATACCTATCTACTGTCTCACATGAGCCTGTGAACAAAATGTGACCGCAATTACAGCTGGCGGTACAATGTTTATGGTCAAATTGATTTATACTATCTGAATAGTAGAACCTAGGTAAATGTGGATACTCAACATTTTCATGCCAGGCATGGGATCGCAACCGTACTGTGCGGCCGTTCCGTGGCAAAACAACGTAACTTGAAATTTTCACTTTTGGAGAAAAATAGAGTTGAAGTTTGCAACTTGGCAATAAATTTCCGTACAGTTTAAATTTTGCAGGATTGTATATCTATAGACACTGTGATTATATGTAAAATTTTAATTGCAACTGTTTGTTTATTGCCAAGGTATTAGTAGTATTCACAGATACGTGTGCCAAGCCAGGCTTGAGGAGACTCTAGTGTGACTGTAGTCTTTAGTTGCCTAAACTGGTGGTAGCTACTGTGTGTGTGCTGAGTCATGGAGATCATTACATTCCATCCTCTTTTCTTGTCTTTCAGCAGGAGGGCTGAAATGCCAATTTCAAATAATGCACCATCTTTTGAATTAGACATTTTTGTTTAACGCTTACTAATAACCTGCGCTTAAAAGTTTTTGGTATCTATTTAAGTACTGTAATAATGATATATTGCCATGTTGATCAGTGGTGGTGCCAACGGGAAAGGGCAGGGGAATTTTGCCTATCCAAATATTAACGTTATTTTAAATGCCAGTCCCTAATATTGTGGTCTAAAATCATAATAGTGATAAATCCATTAAAGCCCTATTATTGATTTTTATTTCTGACCGCGGCGCTGTAGTTGACCCCTTGGTCTATTTCACCATCAAAAAAAAAAAAAAAAGAAAAAGAAAATAGAGATTACAACTATTTGTGATATTATCACTGATTTGATTTGATTTTTTTTCTACTTAGGCAATTCTAGGTGTAAGCATAGGCTTAGTTGGTATTTCCTACAAGAAGGAAGGCAGCAGCTTTATGAGATGGGGTGTGAGACTCATCACGATTAGTGTGCTAATGTGCATTTGTGGCGCTATCATTGATGGAGTTGCCGCAGGAGCAGCTGATGTAAGTATCTGTTGCAGGGGTCCCAAGTCTCCCTCAAATCACATCGAGTCTTCCGGAAATTGGGAAAGTCTCCTACACTCCCACAAGCAAGAAGAATCTCCCGGAAACAAATTATCTCCCGCAAATTCACAATATTTGCATATTTTACTACTCTTTTGTCAATTGTCTCTAAGTCAATGCCATTGGGTATCATCATCATCATCATCATCATCATCATCATCATCATCATCATCATCATATACAGCAAAGTACAATTAGATGTGTTAAGAAAATTTAGCTCATTTAAACAGGTCTCCCGGATGTGATTTCTTCTAACTTAGGACCGCTGTTTTTGGAGGAAGGCTTAAATCTGAGTGTATGAAGAAGTAGTGAAGGTTAAGAGTTGTGGTAAGATGCTTGCATTCCAATCCCAGGGTCATGGGTTCAAATCCTTGGACAGCACAGGATTTCTTTTGAAAAAAAATCCTCTATTCACTAGACCTGGTATTATGAGACTTATGCTATGTTGACATTCTTAAATTTTGGTCAAACTAACGTTTGGTGACCTCAACCAAAAAATATTCCAGTGTTAAAAATCCTTGTAAATTTAGCTCATCAAGTTTAATCAAGTATACATTCCCCAGGAAGAATAACCAGTCTGTATTTTCCAAGGGCTAAATGTCCAATACCAATATAGCGACTCTGAATTGGAGTGCAAATTTATTCTAATTCTTTCTCTCCACTCCAAAAATTGTATGTTTTTTACAGGATGTTGATGTTGACAGATGTAACTACTCTGCGAATAAGACCATTGTCACCTGTGGCACTTGTAGATCCATGGTGCAAGCGGAAACATGCTACTGTTGCTATCTGCTTGAAGATTGTGAATTTAGCAGTCAAGGGTTGGTTATGTTTAGTTAGAATCACGTAGGCTTACCACTAGTGATACTGTCTGTACTGGTACTGGTTTAGGCATTTATAATGGAGGTTGTAAAGTGCACTTCTTTTCCCTGGTCATTGGGTCCACATGCTGTAAGTGTTGCTGCTGATAATCAGCGCAGGAGCAGGCAACCCCACCAGGTACCCATTTATACTCCTGGGTGGAGAGAAGCAATGCAGATAAAGTGCCTTGCTCAACGACACAAGCGAAATGCACAGCGACGGATTGAAACCCCAACCTCAAGTTTGGGAAACCAAACCTTTCACGCTGCGCGAAACCGCTTCCAACCTGTCTCAAGATTCATAATGAGACTTTTATACAGCCTAATTGACGGTATATTTCTGATGAAAAAGCAAATACAATAAAATATATTAATTCATGTCAAGAAAAATATAAACATTCTGACTTCTTTATCTTGTGATTATATAAAATGTAGTCAGGTAAAGCCAGAAGAAATATTTTCTGATTTATAATCTTTAATATAATTGCCATTTTTTTTCCCTTTATAGTCCAAAAGATGTTCCTACTCATATAGAGGGCGTGAGTTCATGCAATGATGTTGTCATATATGTCTGGTTACTCTGGATATCTGTTGGATTTTGTTCACTGAATACTGTACTTGGTGTAATTACTGGCGCTCAAATTGGTGGTTTTAATAAAACAGTAAGTACAATTTATAGTGGAAGTATACTTAATGTAGTGTCGTGGAGATGCAATACAGTAGTTTATTTTATATACAACATTGGTTTGAGGTGAAGTAGTGAATGTAACTTCACAAGGTGTTGGATGATTGGGACTACCTCCCGGCACAAAGAAGCAAATTGAGGTACTTTTAGTCCCAATCATCTGACGAGGGAAGTAGAATTCACTGGTTTACTGAAATAAAAACCATGTGCGTTTGTTTACTATACCTCATGAATAATAAATAGCAAACCATCCATCTACATTATCCATTTCTGTCCATGAGGCTAAAATTACCCAGTTTGCATATGGTTCACATAAGAAGAAGTGCAGCAGCAGCCTCCTTTGTAAATTTGGCATGCACAGGGAAGTAAGCTACCACACCCCTTACTGGAAGAAATTGATCTGATATGTTATTATCTAATTAATAATATTTATGAGGTTTAGTAATACCAGTGGTACAACAAATACTGGTAGAAACAACATTAGAAGATCATCAGCAAAAATGTCAAAAGAAAGCCAATCATGATTAAGCAACAAACAGCAGAAGGGGCTGGCATTTAGTTATTGATTAGGTGTCTTGTTGAGAGTAGCATAGTTCAGTCGGCTAAACTAAGGGTAGCCGCAGTGTTTGCACTGAACCATAGAGATCCTTTCAAAACTTTGATCTTCAGTTTAAATCATTTGCTGTTGGTCCTGTGTTTAATGTAGCCCATTTGTACATGCATTAACTTTGAAGTTTGTTGAAGGAATCAAATGATAAATGTATATCTACTAATTACTAAAGCTTTAAGTTTGTTTTCCATCCTAATATTCTGGTCTTCCAACCTATATTTTATCTTGGTGCTGTTCCATTTTGTTTGTTTTCCCATTCAACATCTTTTTCTTCTGAACATATATGCTTCTTACTCTTTTATCATCAGTAGTAATATTTTTTTAATGATTTCTAAAAGAAAACCTAAGATTGTTAACGAACAATGCGTTGTGTATAAATTTCAATGTGGCTTGTGTTGCAGTAACAATTAAATTTAAACCAATTTTATGTGAAATAAGAATTAAAACATGTGCAAATCAGTATTTCCTTAGATTTTAATTATATTAGAATATAGAGTGTTTTTATATTAGATTATAGGAAGGTATAAGACAGAAGTGGGCATAAAGGTGGATTTGGATGGGGGGAACTGAGTTAATATTTGTTTCTGAGGGCCGAATGCAAATTTTGATTGTAAAAATCTAATATTTCTGTAGTGCTTTGCTTGTAAAACGATCATGTACTGCTTTATACTTCGTTTTGCTCTATTGTAATGTTGCTTTTACAGATGATCTGTGACAGGCCAATAACAACAAAGAGTTTTCAAACCAAAAGTGGTAGACAGAGGTTTTATTTACTATTGCAAGTTTCCATCTGGTCGCATGTGGCCTGCAAGCCTCACTTTGCCTACCTGTGGTATAAGATATATTTTAAAAAAAAAAGTTGTTTTGATACATAGGAGGTGTCAGCGATTGTGATATATATTCGTTTGTATAATTATTATTATTATTGATATAAATCATTTTATGTCTCTAAATTTGAAGAGGTTCAAAGAATAGCATTATGTTTTCTGTTTGATAAGTGAGTGCATTTCTAGTTCTTGAGAGGAATGATATAGAATATAGATGTGTGTTTCCCATCACTAAAAATTATTATTGCCCTTCCTATTTCAATTCTTCTTTGATTTTGGTATTTTCAGGTCAGGTCTTTGTCCTTTTATAGGCCAATCAGAGTATTATAAAACATAACAATAACTATTAATGAAAACTTCATATCACCCTTGATTCAATTGAAAAACTTAGACTTGGTTATGTTTATGTTTATTAATTTGTGTACAATTGTTTCACAATTGTTAAAAAATATTATGCTACAGCAATTTATCTTCCACTTTTAACTTAAGTAATTATATTTCTATTTTTCATTTTTGAATAGTTAAGTATAATGATTATATTCAAAGTTTTAAAAGAGTGATTTTGTACTAATCCTAAAAATCCTTATGTGTGGTATTGTTTATGCAACTGGTACTGTTGTTTTTTTCTGTATATTTAATGTATATTTAATAGTTTTATATTTGATTCAATAGAATAGTTTGACTGAACGCAACAGTAATTTAATTGTATAAAGTTTATTCAGATAAGGCAAAAGAAGTGAAATTTCGACAAAATTGACACATAACAATTTATAAGCAGATAAACCACATCAGCCTGAAAAATAACAAAACAAGATGGATTTCTTGTACCTTGCATAGAATGAACATTACTCTGAATAAAGAAAAGCAGGCCATAATTCAATGTTTCACCCTTTATTGGGTCATCATCAGAATGAATTTACATATTACTTTATGCTATGTAGAATAATGGGGTTTAAAATCATTAGTAGTAGTACTTAATCCTTTATAGAAGAATATTTTATATACTGTACTGACCTTTACATATCTGAATTATGATATACTGTGTATGACTCTTAATGGGCTTTGTCTGAAAAATGCCTTATCAATAAATTTCTACAACTATTGGAACTACTGTATTTTGTTTTTATCCTGGCACTCTACCTATGCATATGCATAGACAACAGAAGGCCCTGGGTTATAATCTCGGTTGTGGCAACATTTTTTTTACACTCTTATTTACGAAAGTCTAATAATACTCCAAAAGTATTGAAATACACGCCACCATGTTGGGATTCAGTATTTCAACGTTAATTATGTCATCATTAGGAATGATTTACTTGTCTTCAACAGGTTTTTTTTGTTCACAATTTATATACAATTACTGTATAGCATTAGCACAAGATGGTTTAGAATTTATCTCTATTATATCATGATTTATTTATGAAAAGGTATCTCTTTGGATATCCTGTCTTGTCGTTAATGATTATAAGAAAAGGGCATATAATATTGATTTCTGTTATTTGCCACTGATCAAGGACTAGTGCTGTCCAACTACACATAGGCTAGAGTGTATTAGTTGCTTTATTCAGATTACCAACAAAGCCTCAATTGCCCTCACCCTCGATCGAAGGCCGTATTATTATGAGAACGTTTCACATAGTGTCACCCATTGGAAAGTGGAAGATTCTAATCGAAATTCATTAAATTTGTACTTACAAAAATAGTATGGATACATTTACAATGGAATTCAAAATATATTATTTAATTTTATTTTTCAATATTTTAAATCTATCAATCTTATTATAATTTAACTTTAATTTGATCTAGTATTTACAACACCAGTACATTGCGTCTATAGATTTCTATACATTAATAACATTAGCATTGTAAAGTAACTGCACTTATTAGGTGGTCCGGAGTGACAGTTGCTAGTATAGCCTCCAATGTCGAAATTTTCGTCTATTGGAGATGACGAACTGTTCTGCGGTCTCCGACTCATAGTAACTGTTGGCAGCCTGATAGACGAATAATGGAGTAATCCATGTAACAGTTGTCTCACTAACGATTCTGGCTTTTGTCGAGTAACTTTGACCACTGAATTTGTTTTTTTTTTCCCACATTAAAAAAAAAAAACCAAAAACTAATAATAATGATTTATTTGGATACACAGTACTACACTTTCGAAACAGTCTCACACTTAATATTATTAATATGTTCGTCTAAAATTATGATTACAATACTTTATATGAAACACAAATCATATAAATAAAGGTGACAAGTAATAATTAATTTCGTATGCAGGCCTACACAGTTTCCTGTTGCAATAATTGTTTTCTAGTTCAAACTTGTTTCTAGTTCAAATTCAGCGCAATGACGCTGCGAGTTATGGATGGGTTATTCTCCTACCTTTACCTTCTTATATCACAATAAACAGATAAATTTATATAGGCATATATATATATATATATATATATATATATATATATATATATATATATATATATAGGCCTATAGATTTGAGTGCAAAGTTAATGACCAAATTAATGACCAAATATTCTTTTTTTTTTTTATAAATATTGAGATATCCATTGAATGCACAAGAGAAACTACTCGTCGTAAGTCGTAATGGATACCTAATTATATCTAATGTTAAAGTAAACGATACAAGTTACTACCTAGGCTATGTAGAATATTACCATCCGGATACAAAGTAGCTGTAGGCGGTTTCGCCACATGCAAGTTCATTTATTAATTTTTTAAATTTACGTCGATTATAATACCTTCATGGATATTCCAATGGGGAAAATATGAGATATGTTTAATAAGCCATTTCATTAGGGCCCATGAATAAAAAAAATCCAGCTATCATTGCTGAATAAATATTGAAAAAGAGCAATAATTAATAAACTGTACTCTTGTGTTTTGATTGCAAATATATTTGGTTTCTTTACCGCCAGGGTAGGCCTACTTCATCAGCTATAGGTACGTCTCTGACTTATAGTTATTTATTCATACATAAATTGTATACATGACTAAAATTGAAAACCACAATGATTACAATTAATTGATTTACTTTTAAATGCCGTGATGAAAATACATAGAACAGTTTATAATTAAGTTGCCATTAGAAGTTTGTTTATTGTTCCTTTACGCTATTGCAAATAAACAATTCTTATCAATGTGTATTTAATATTGTGTAAAATAGTTCCATGGTAAAACTAAATAGGATTTTTTTACAAGTAAATTTCTCTAGCTTTGATTGAATTGATTATACACATGACGATACACTTCAAAACATTCGTGTATTCCACTTTCATAGTTAAAACGGTATTTCTGATATCAATTTAGTTGATTTAGGCCATATTAATAACAGTCTATAACGCCGCTGAGACAGTGTTTTGTATTACGTTACAAATAACGATATACATTTAGCGATAATTGTGTACAGGTACCCTTCTATTCCAATGTAAATCTATCGAATGCGAATAGAATGGGGAGACTAACACAAAAATTGACTACAGAAAATGCATGATTAAATTTGCATTAATAAATTTGCATCTATGTTTCCTTCTTTATTAGAGCCTCATGAAACTATACAACATTCTTAAAAATGTGAACCTTGCACTGGTCTTGTTGTTGGAATGAATTTTCAGGGTATTGTCATAGGAATTGTATTGGCGTCAGTTGTATTTGTTATTCTCTTGAAAACAAGAACTTCTTCAAAGGTAAGTATTAATATATAATTATTATATACTGATAAGCATGTAAGTAAATACATTAATGATAAACAACATTATTGAAGCAAAGGCTAAGTAGGTAGGCCTTTTTGCAGATTTTAAAGATGCCAATCACAATCTGATAAAAGTAATAGAAATTGCATTTTAATATTTTATATTATTATATCACATTACTGCTTTGCGTCACATGGAATAAATTAGTGGCAAAAATGTAATTTACTACTATTATATCAAGTCGTGGCAATTACTATATAATTACAATATTATTTTATTACTTATAGTCATCAGAAAAAGCACACTGGGGAACAAGTGTAAGTAAACTATATTAAAACAACTTCAGAAGCTATACAGTCACACAAGTGTTAGGTAGCGAGGCACCTTCTGGACTATTGTACAAGACAAGCACAATTACGAAACAAAATAATACTGTAATCGTATTATTAGTATTTTTTTCTCTTATTATCATAGACTTACATGACGTAAAAACGAACATTAAACAGAGTGTCAGACGTACCAAGATTTGAGGATAAATGAAGACAACTCCGTCGTTTATATGAATGTAAAAACAAAAGAGAGATAATGTAATGATTGAAAATGTCTTGTTTGTGGACCTACAAATCATCATTTTGGAGCTAATGGATTCAAAAATTAAATAGGCCTACATATTTTGAGTAGAATTTTCAAAATTGCTTTCATCTCAAGACTAGGCCTATTTTGGGAATAGGGGTAGTTTCGCCTAGTATGGTATAAATTTAAAACTTAAATAAATATAACTAAAGGGTTGAACATTGCACTGCATGGGGCAGCTGACAATTTTTATGTGACTATTGCAGATGGCGCGTCGTGGACAACCGTCAAACACGTTCATCACATGAGACTCCTGATACCATACTTTCTTCGATCGTTATACAAAGTAATGTCATTTTGATTCCAATGTGTGATTAGTTTTAAATGTATGTTTCCTCCATCTTTGGAGGTATTTTGAATAATTAATTGAAATTGAAATTGCTTTTCGTAAAGATGGTTGGCAGAAGAAAAAAAAAAACCCCGTACGTTTTGACCAACAGGCCTACAAAACAGCCCTTTTGAATAATAGGCCTAATTGATTAGATAGATCGTCAATAGATATATTAATGATCATAAGATATATGTTGTAATTTTTTTAGGAAGCTGGAGCAGAAAAAATCCCCTTCATCCACCTGTAATCGCACACTACTCCAAAAATTACTCCCCTCAAGGGGCGGACACAACACTATGGTTAAAAAAAAATGGCTCCTGCCGGGAAATAGGCCTAGCACATGCATAGGCCTACTTTACAAAAATGAATGTTCCTCACTTTCAAAGGGTGATAAATTTAGATTGCAAGTAATTAGGGCCGGCTTGACCATTAATACCTTTTTTGTCACATAACAACCTATATGTGATTCCATCGGAGTGGTTTTTTTTAAATGTCGATTCTTATCTTACAATCATCAGCATAATAATAATTATCGACATCATCATCACCGCCATCATCATCATCATCATCATCAATATCATCATAACCACCACCACCACCATTATTATTATTATTATTATTATTATTATTATTATTATTATTATTATTATTATTATTATTATTATTATTATTATTATTATTATCATTATTATTATTATTATTATTATTATTATTATTATTATTATTATTATTATTATTATTATTATTATTATTATCATTATTATCATTATCACCCTCATCATCCTCATCGTCATAAAGGAATGGCGCATAGAAAAAGAATAACTTTACCGTACTTGTTTTGTTATACAACTCCAGGTGGCGTTTTACATATAAACATTACGGTACTCAATGGACTCAGAAATGAGACTTTAAATCAATAACAATGTAAGTACAGTATTAAATATTTTGCATCATTAATTCACTAGTTAATTGGGAATTCTGTCACCATTCTATGGTTATTATTTTGACTATGTTTGTTAGGCAGCCGCATTGAAGGCATTGACAGTTTCATCGACAGAAACATGCACTGACATGCTGCATTCATATTCAACAACATACAAGTGACTCGCTAAAACCAGCAAAGACCTGAAACTGGCTAAAAAAAAATTTAGTGGCTATCGGCACTGCCGCAGTGCCAAAAAAAGCTGCTGTTTTCTATCGGCACTGCCGCAGTGCCAAAACGCTGCCGTTTTCTATCGGCACTGCCGCAGTGCCAAAAAGTTGCTGTTTTCTATCGGCACTGCCACAGTGCGAAAAGCTGCTGTTAAGTAATCGAATCGATGTTTTTCTCGATAGAAAACATTGGTATAATTCATAATTCATAATTTTATTTCACTCAAAACGTAATGAGACTGGTTAGGCAAAAACATGTCCCTGTACAAGATGCCTTCCAGAGAAACAATGATAATGTTGATAATGTTAATGGCAAAGACATAATAATAATAATAATAATAATAATAATAATAATAATAATAATAATAATACAGATAATAATACAGATAATAATAATAATAATAATAATAATAATAATAATAATAAATAATAAAAAGTAAATGATAATAATAATAATGAATGAAGATCAAAATATATCATTGAAGTGAATTCAGTTATTTATTAAAACAAGATTTGGAGGCTGGACTGTCATGAAGGTGTTGTATTAATGATGTTCTAAATATTTGCCTTTATTATATCAATAATTGATTAGGTCTAGCTTAGCCTATATTATTATTAACATTATATTATATTTGTTTAACAATTGGTTTAAATAATTATTTCTAATTAAATTATTAAATGTATACAATACATATTATATAGGCCTAGGCATATACATAAAACAAAAAATAAACAAACAATAATAATAATAATAATAATAATAATAATAATAATAATTTTACGATAGTTTGATTAATGAAATAGTAATAATCAGCATATTAAATAAAATTCCGTCCATGCAAAACCTGCTTTTAAATAAAAACGTTATCTATTTGATTCTGTTTTAAAAAATAATCTTATTAATTATAAGTTTATTTTCTGCGATAATTTTATGCACATGCATATTCATGTTTTCAATGTTAATCTGGTTGATAAATAATATATAAAAAAATAAATAATAATAATAATAATAAAAGTGCTCGAATAATGCCTTAGTGAATAATTAATAATACTTCAATAATGCTTCAATAGGCCAATTTACGATAGTGTGATTAATGAGATAATTGTTGATTAGTTTATAGAAATATAATACGTAGGCCTATATTCCATTAATAATGATTCAGCATATTAAATCAACAATATGTCGTAAATGTAAAATTTGGTTTTTTTTTCAATAAAATTTTACCTATTTTAATCTGTTTCAAAAAAATATTAAATTATAATATAT